CCTACTCTACACTGCCCAAAAAACTCGCTTTAAATATGAAAAATATTAAATATAAAAACTCTTTAAATATAAAAAACGTACTTACAGTCTGTGAGTCAGAACAGCCGGCATTGTAGTCTACTCTCCCAGGATCAGGAAACAGTCCTCCATAAAATGTGCTGCACACATCTGAATATTTGGGTTGAACTGTTCTGGAACAGTGTTGTAAATACAACTTAACCACTGATTTCTAGTCGTGTCCTCTTTTGAAAGACCAAACAAAGTAGTTTTCACTTCAAAGAGAAAGGAAAAATTGAAATCGCATCATATGACCCCTTTAAAGAATATTTAGTCAGCACATTATAAATAGGCTTCTTGTAAAGGTCATACATTACTTAACATTTACAACATTTGCAAATGTAAACAATAGTAATATCTTGCATTATAAATGCAATTTTAACTGTGTGCCAACACAGAAATGATTTGACAACTAATTTATATAAGCTATATTGCTTATGAAACTTAACTCTCTCAGCGTAAATTAATGGTACTATATAACATCATTGTAGGTCATTGGTTGAATAGTTGAAAAAGTTAAATAAACAGTTCAAACTGCATCAAAAAATTATTAAAAAACGCTGTCTACAAACAAATAAAGAGAAGCATTGCAGATAGTCAATTCCTCTTTCCTTTAGTTTCATTTTGTCATTCATTTGATTTGACATAGATGTTTACACGGTTAAATTACCTGAAAGCTGCCAGGACTCCTTCTGCTCGTCGGGTGAGTCTGCGCTCAGCTGACCGCTCGGACAGGTGCTTTTATACCTGCGGGGAGGGGCTTACCCGCCACTTCCGCTTTTCCTGCTCATGAATATTAATTAAACCCTGACGTTCGCTTAGCGACTCTAAACTTCAACCTGTTGAATAAACACAGTTTTATTAAAAATTAATAAACCTACGAGCCTGGAGACTGCAAGAAAGCTATAGCACCGCGTTAGATCTATTACATATTTATGAAGTAAGCCTTTACAGAAATTTGCACACTGGCAAGACCTTGCATTCTTCATTTTCTAGAGCCATTTATCATTCGTTTTTTAATACACTAACTAAACCCTTTCTATAGCAGTTTATCTTATTTGTAACAGTAGGTCATGATGTTTCTCACGCCCTTTGTAAACACTGAGAGGGTGTGTGTTTGTTTTCTCCTCTTATAGTCTCTCTTCTGTCTGCAAACAGGCGTAAAAAGTTCAACACTGATTTGACAGTGATTGTAAGCCTCTAATACATTCTTACATCCATGGTTACTACACTTTTACTACAATAAAACAATGGTTACTTTTCGTAGAATTCATATTCGCAAAACTAGACATATTTTATGTATATGTAACTTACAATATGAATCCTACGAAAAGTAGCCATTGTTTTATTGTAGTAAAAGTGTAGTAACCATGGTTTTTTTTGGCGTATTGATTACCATTTGTATAACCAGTTGTACTACAAATACCATGGTTAAACTATGGTTAGTGTAGCAAAACCATGGTTAATTTGTGGTTACCATGGTTTAACTATAGTAACCATGGTTTTTTGGTTTTATTTGTGGTAAAACCATGGTTAATTTTCGTAAAGGTATGGCCAAGGATTAAGGCATGAATATTAATTAAGCTGTTTAAAGGATTTGTGAACCCGCACCAAAGTTCCGATCAAATGATTCGCGATCTGATTGGAACGCTTGGAAACAGTGAATCATTTAGCGATGCAATGTTTTAACCAATTCTGAGTTTTCGAAAAGTTTAATAAATAAAATAAATGATTTGCAATATGTGCTTCGAAGTCTGAATCAAAACC